AACAATGATTATATCGGGATAAAACTTTGCGTGAATAATATGTTTAAAGTATGCCACCTTGTGACCAAAAATTATCTAAATCGAACCAAAACTGTTCAAGTCCCTACGTACTAAATATGTGGACCCCAGTGGCTATAGTTGACCTTCCACCGAAAATATCGGTCAATCCACAAAGAAATCTCAAACGAGTATACCATTTGACTTTGCGAGAGTATAAAATGTTCGGTTACATCCGAAATTAGCCTTTCCTTACTTGTTTTTACTTAAGTTACAGCATGCCCAAACAGAAGGACGGTGGGGCGCATCAATCATATCGCACATGCAGACTACTAAGAACATTTTGTGACACGGAGCATTTTTTAAAGCGAATAAATGGATTGCCTTGCATCGAAATAAAGTGCGGAATAACCAGAACACCTGTTGCATTTTTGGTAGACAGGATCCACCAATTATTAGGGGTCGGTAAGTCAAAACCAATTAAACCATTTAAAATAAAAACGTTACGAAGCTTTTCAGTCATTAATGAAAAAAAAATGATTATGACATGACGTATGGCTACGATTTAGTATATTATAATAAACTAAGTTAATTTGATATGATATGTTATTAGGAGAACAAGAGCTTAGAACACTTAAACCAGAAGTGCATTTATTTGATTACAGTTTAAAGAACCTAAAGGAAGTGGTCTTTAAAGTAGAACCAAAAATAAATTTCACTGTTAATAATCCTCAATACGAAGAAGATATAAGAAAATTAATGATAAGAAACGTTCAAATTAGTATAAGTCTTCCTTTTACTACAACCATTCAGGCGACAATTAGTACTCACACAGAGGAAACGTTATGGACAAAACAATATCCATATCCTATCGCGGATAACGACTTTGTGAATAAAGAGATTAGTGAGTTGTTAACAAACGGAGTAAAAGCTCATATAATTCACCTATATGGAAAATTTTTCCAAGACTCAGTCGAGTATGTTGGACACATAATTAAAAACAATAGGATTATTCTGGATCCAAAAACGATTGAATATTTGAAAATAAAATATTTTCCAGATCCAAAAACACTTAAGGAACTAAGATAATTTTTAGGATTAGCTAGTTATTATCGAAAAATTTAATTGAAGGATATGGAGCAAAATTAATTAACAACAAAAGGCCACCAAACAGTTGTAGCAGACGCCAACAAATAAATGCGAATACTGATTGTTCTCAACATTCAGAAGAAAGTTCACCTGTAGTTTATAAGGGTAAAACAAGCATTAAGAGAGTATTCTGGTCTTGAAATTTGAAAAATTTTAATTTTTTTTGTAGCATATTTTCAAAATATAGACCTTCAAAAATAACTCCCTATAAGGATAAATGGAAGGGCCACTTATGTTCGGTTACGATAATAATTACAACTTTAGAGGAGTTATAATAACAGGGAGCCAGCAGATTCCACCAAAATCAGAAGCAGTTATTTGGCAGAAATAGATGGAGACTATGGGACAAAGTCCCCGAGCTCTGATGATTGTTTCGAAAGTAAGAATTTCCGAAGTTCTGAACGAGCTGCACAACGGTCCAAGTGGAGGCCACATGGGTATCACTAAAAACTTGGAGAAATTAAAACAAAGGATTTATTGGTAAGATGAAGCAGTACAATTCGGGTGCGCCGTTTGAGCGAATTGCCATTGATGTAGCTGGTTCATTTCCCATCAGTTAATTAGGAAACAAACATGTTTTGGTAGTCATGAACTATTTCAGCAAATGGCCAGAGGTATTCGCAAATCCTAACCAAGAGGCAGAAACAGTAGCGGATGTACTAATCAACAGTAGGGTGCCGAGATATGGTGTTCCAATAGAATTACAGAAACTGGGTATCCGAAAAACCCGTACAACTGCACTACATTCGCAATCTGATGGCATGGTAGAACGATTCTATCGAACTTTGGAAAAACATTTGGGAAATTTGTGGGCAAGTATCAAACAGAATGGGATACCCATATATTCTTGTTCCTGATGGTTTATAGGTCTGCTATACATGGAACAACGGGGCAGACTCCAGCAAGGGTAATTTTTGGTAGTGATCTTCGAATATCGATTAATTTGAAATTTGGAATTAACGCCAACGGAGGAAGGAATACTAAAAAAGTTAACAGCATCCTAAAAGACAAGATGAGGGATATTCATGTTATGGTAAGGCAGCGCACCAAAATTATGAGCGATAAAATGAAAGCAAAATACGACAAGGCAATGAACTCTGAGCATTTTATTGAAGGCGATTGGATATTGTTATATAATCCACAACGAATGAAAGGGCTATTTCCCAAATTACAGTGTAATTGGGAAGGACCATACCAGGTTATTAAGCGACTCAACGATGTAGTGTATCACATAGAGACCATTGGAAGACCAAGGAATAAAATGAAGGTAGTTCTTTTGGAACGGCTTGCAGCGTTTGGTACCGCAAATATGTCTAATCAGGACGATCAACCTAGGTGGAGGGCAGTGTGGCAAACACGAATGCCAGAACAAATCAGAATCGACGATAAACTGCCAGAATCAACTATATAGCGCAATTCGTAGCTGCCAGAATGTTCGAGTAGCAAAGTTTTGTTAACAATCTATATGTAAGGGCTGCCGGGTTTTTTTCAGTATTAGAGTGTTGCCGAGTAAAGAGCAATTGAGCTATAAGCAATAAGTTGCAAACTCACATAAATAGTAATAAGTAAGTAAGTGTTAAGTTGTTGGAATCAGAAATTAAGATAAATGTTTAGCAAAAAATTGGGACTTTTATTCAACAATCCAGTGATCGAACTCAAGAGTGAGTTATAAGGTTTAATTACGATTTAACGAGAAATCCGTTACAATATTGTTCTTGTACAAGAGACTTGGTTTTTACTTGCAAAGTATTCTGCACAAGACGAAATAACCAAACATGGTTTAATATCGGAATTCAATAATTTGATACAGTCACAAGTCTCTAAATTTGGGATTTGAACCTAGAGAAAAGTTTTGTGACTCCGTGACAGTTACAAAAATCTCTCAATTGAAAACGAGAACATATCGATAACATATATAATATTAACTTTTCTATAACGCAGTCAAAAGGGATAGTTATCAATAAAAATAAAATGTTGACTTTAAATCACAATAGTTAAGAAATATATTTGCAATAGATTTTTTTTTTTAATTTTTAGATGTAGCTTACAAAATATGAAAACCGACAATCGATTAATATCTATGATGATCTCTATAAGTGAAGTGGAAGTATATTCAAACTGTAAAACAAGAATTCTTATTAGTTTTGTGACTTGCTTCCTACCAGGTGACACATTTGACGCAATATTTTGTAAGCCAATGAAAAAGTAAATGTGTCAAAGAGAGACTGCGATTAATACAAGCCAGAAAGTTAAGAGAATTTACTATATATTAGCAAGCCGAATATACAGAAGTAACTACACTAGGTAGAAAAAGTCTCCGCTCACCAATCCGTGGAAAGTGTTTCAATAAAAATATTAATAAAATATATGCGTTTTTGAAGTTCTTGCTAATAGCATTACAGTCGCCAAATTTCAAGGAATTCCTATCAATTTGTGAGTAAATTTTTTGAATTATTCAGCCTTAATCGAAATGAGTGCAAAAGACAAAGAAATAAGTGTTGATGAACGGAAAATAATATTAAAATTACGGGAGGACGGCGAAAGCTTTCGTGAAATTGGACGAGTTGTCAACAGAACGGAGTCATCAGTGCGATACGTCCTCCAGACTTTCAAAAAAACGGGAATTAATACTTCAAAGCCTTGATCTGGACGTCCGAGAATATTGACTGATCGGGAAACATGCAAAGTTGTATATCTTGTAAAGGTTAATCCGTGTTAACCGCTTCCCAAGCACAAGCACAAGCACAAGATGTAAAACTACAATTTAAAAAAACAATATGCAGCGACACAGCAAGAAATATATTAAAAAGGGCTGGTTATCATGGGCGAGTTGCACGCAAAAACTCATTCATTTCTTTAAAAAATCGTATGAAGCGCATTGCATTCGCAAACGAACATATAACCAAGACTATATCTTTCTGGGAATCAGTTTTATGGTCGGATAAGACCAAATATAGTATATTTGGAAAAAAAGGAAGTCATATGGTGTGGCGAAAAACTGGTACGGCCTTTGAAGAGCGAAATCTTACTTCAACCGTAAAGCATGGTGGGCGTGGAGTTCAAATGTATGGCAGCAGGTGGAGTTGGTGGCATTGAGTTTATCGAAAATATAATGAATAAATTTGTTTATCTAAATATTGTAAGACGACAAATGAAGCAAAGTGGTGACAAATTAGGATTGAAAAACGTGTTTTGTTTCCAACAGGACAATGACCCTAAGCATACAGCGGAACTTGTTCGCCTTTGGCTTCTTTACAATGCTACAAAACAGCTACATTCACCTCCACAATCACCTGACCTCAATCCAATTGAGCATTTATGGGCTCTAATGGAGCACAGAATTCGAACACATACGATTACCAGCAAAAAGACCGTTATATTGGACGAATGGAATAAAATGTCAGCCCAAGATACGAGAAAATTAGTATATTCCATGCCTAAACGTCTAGCAGAAGCTCTAAAATTTCGAGGCTACCCCACCAGCTATTAAACTTTTTATAATTACTTGATATTGTTGTGTTCTGGTTAATGAGCGGAGAATTTTTCTATTTAAGTTAATTGTTTTTAAAATGAAAGTGAAATCTGTGACTTTTGTTTATTGAATAATTTGAAAAAAAAAGTTAATTATTTTAAGCGAAAAGATATGATTTAATAACACAAAAAAAAAATGTATTAATTAGTCAATTGGTCAAACTTTTATTTTAGTTCAAAAGATTTTGTACCCAGTGAGCGGAGACTTTTCTACCTAGTGTATGTACACAGGTAGAGACGTAAGTACATAAGAGATGCTGGTCGAGTTTCGTCTCGCACAAGAAATCGACCGTGTATAAATACAAGTTTGAAAAAAAGGGAAAATTATTAAGAGGCTGCATAAAAAAAAGCAAGCTAATATTTAGTATAAAATAAATTTTGTTTCGGTTTTTTTTTCGTTTATTAGCAAACGTAAATACACGGTTTCAGGATGGCTGAAAATTATCTAAAAACATTCCTATGTGAAACTATTGAGAAGTCGGCACTCAAAAATGAATCGGATAAGTTTAGAGCGTGATAGAGTCGAAAAGGATGGTTTTTCATATTCATATAATTCTTGTTCTACAATTGATCTAGCTTAAGAATGTTCTTCGTTAAATTTTGCTTCCCCAGAGTCTACATTCACGCTTTTACAGTGTTAACAACCAGGCTTCCAGAGGATATATCCAGTCTCCTTAAATATCAATAAAAAATAAACAATTGAGAAATTGGTATAAATAAATAATAAAAAAAATCTAAGCGACGTGTTACTCTGTCGCTGTTCAAAGCGATGCTTCAGTTTGCGTTCCTCAAGTGACAAATTCCACACGGGTGAATCGTGGGATGCACCACCAAAACGAGCATCAACGGCTCTTACATCTATTTTATGGTCACATATCTGTAATAGTTTTATTATTTGGTCTTATATCAATTCACACAATTGTGTTAGGATTTCATTAAACTACTTACAACCACATATACTCTATGTTAATTTCCTATTGAAGTACCTTTGTTCATTTACTGTTGGACGCACTATTTGAATATGCATTCCAACAATCGCTTCAATTGTTGAAGGAATGCCAAATTAAAAAAAAAAAATTACAACTTCGCATCCCTTTCATCTTGCACAATCATTTGGAAGGTTATGTGTTTGACTTCATATAGGTTGAAGATCGCTGCCAATTTGCTTCAGATAACCTCCTTTCGGTTAAAAATTTTAGCGCAGCTTAGAGCTTCCATATAGCCAAAATTCCTACACGTATATGAAGGCTTCTTTGCAGAGCCGGAAATTTTGTGCAAAGCTATAATTTTATAAATTTATCAACAGTAACACATTCTAAGCGCATATTACCCTCCTTTCGTAATTATGTTGCTTTGGTCTCTAAAAATTCTTCGCTCAATCCTTCCAACCTTATTATGTTCCAAAATGCTATTGATTTTATATTATGTTTTTTATCAATTCAATATTACAATTTATATTTGTTGGATTTTTTTTCGGTGCTCATTTACAAACAGCTGTTTATATTTTTTTGACCTTTGTCTTCAGTGTTGCTCCTTTTTACAAAACATATTCGAACAACAATGCGAATACGATACAGAGTTTCATTACTTTTTAGAATCGCATTTTTATTTCTCATAGTTTTTAGAATAACAATCAGAAGAACATCCATGTTCTGTGAACATTATAAATAGTTGTAGGAAAACCAATTGTTTTTTTTAGCCTTAGTGTTGCCATCAGCCAAGAAGATATTATATATTATACTCAAATAAATTAATTTAATAATAAATAGTATTTACATACATGTGAAACATTGAACTCGAAAATAAAATTCACGGTCTTGAAGAAAGACACAGCAAGTTCGTAAAAAATTGAAACAACAACAGCAAGATCCTGCAGTCCTCGAAGTAAACAAAGAACACACAAATCTAACTTTTAGCAACACTGAGGAAGCACAAAAAACTTCCTTCGATCAACAAGAGGTAGTTATTTTTGTACCTTTCTCTTGTTCTCACCTTCTCCAGCTTTTCGTTCCACTAAACACTCACGTATTTGTAAAAACTGAAATTTATTTATAAATATGTTGATATCTTATCAACAAACCAAAAAAGAACTTATAACGTCACTTGAGGAATAAAAGGTTATAATCGGGATGTGCGACCGTGGAAAAAAGGCGAAACTTCAATTGCGACTCAGTATGAAGCTACAAAAGTTATGATCTCCACATCTAAAGTAATAAAGCAATTGCACCTACTCCACATCCGAGTAGAGGCCCAAGTACAAAGTCAAGGGGTAGTTCAGACATCCATCTCGAGGTGCCGTGTGTGACTCAGAACATTTTATGAATTTATGAAGACTGACCGTCCTTCCGGACATGTTTACAGCCGTATACCTCAACCATCCAAAATTATCTAAGGACAAAATTGTATCACCTTAGATACAAAACAAAACGTCAAACAGTTCGCACTTAATGACGACAATTTAATTTGGATTGGGAAGCTCTAAAATTAGATATGAAAACGAAAGAATATGGTCGATAAACAGTAACGACACTAATAAACTTGCCTAAATTCAAAAAGAAACAAGTGAAGAATTTATAAAATTTCAATTCACTGTTCTAATTGCTTGTCGTTCTATCGACACAAAATATTTCCACAGACAGCTAGGACCAATACTGGATAATAAATGCACCGCCGCTTTACCAGAAAATCGTTACTTTTGGGGAGCAATCGCTCATCTCGAATAAAATGCAAACGTGGCTACAAATGAAAGACTTTAATTACCCAATACGAAACAGAAAGGGTAGATTAAAATGGTCAGAACGAAATTGTTTAACACGACCTAAATAAAAGCTTCCACCGACCCAGCAGTAGCAACTACAAATAAATAGAAGCTTCTTCAAAAATCAAACGTTCAAACTGAACAGTATAAACAAACGTCATGCGAACTATGTACAGGTGGGCATAAGCTCAAATCTTCGAGAGATTCCAAAATTGAATATTATCGACCGAACAATTTTCTAAAAGCAAAAGATTTGTATAATTGTTTCCATGCGCATACATATAAAATTGAAAAGCAAATTAATTGTTATACTGTCACAAAAGACACGACTCATCGTTCAATACAGCAAATTTCCCATATCACCCAAAAAGCGTTATAAAAGAACCACAGGTTTAGTGGTAACAACAACTCCCAAAAATTAAAATCGCGAAAATGTCAAAGACACAAGTTGCTCAAAGGAACAAAATCTGAAACGCAACCAAGTAGGTACTACTTCCCATAGTACTAATACTCCATCGATCATCGAGGAGAACTTTTAAGCTTAGGCCGAATCAAGGATCACAACGATCATTTATAGCATTATCCCTCAAGCGGATAAGCGATTTGTAGCAGAAGCTATAGTCCTGCCGCAACTTACTAACATGCTTCCAAGCTATCACATAAATAACAGCATTGGCAAATGGTTTCACACCCAAAGCTAGCAATCCTAACTGACACCCCGCTCAAATAGAATTCTAATAGGCAGCGACCTTATACCGCAATCATATACTTGAAGATGTTGAAAATATCAACACCCTTCTAGCAAACCCTATATTTGGTTGGACTTAAGTGGACTGTAACATAACCAACTTTCAAAGCCGCAACTCTCGATCAATAATGGCCGGTACGTTGTACGACTACCACTAAAGCCAAAACTTTCCACACTCCACGAATTGACAGAAAAACAAAGTCAGAGTCCCTTCGATAAGATGAGTTTTAAAACACAAATATGTAACTTTTCTAACCCGCAGGGTGGCTCTTGCCAATAATGATACAAAATCATGCTTCAAAAGGTGCATACGCACTCTTTTATTATAGTGCCTCATAGTTGTTCAACTTTGCATAATAATAAAATAATTTAAAAATCAAGCTAAGGGATCAACTACTCCAATGCAATACTTATCGGATCTATCTATCGTCCTCATATGGGTGGTTTATGGAATCAGCTATAAAAGATTCAAATCCTATTTCAAAAAGTAGATGGATATTCTCGGCAATCACTGTCTTACGAATCGCTCTTCATAGGAGAACCATTCTGGCCATATCTGAGCCAGGCATAGAGTCGCTATCTTATAATGAACAAAGAATTGCAAAGAAGTGCTGCTAATACAGAAAAGCATATAATAAAAAGCCGCATAATAAACCATAAGAAAAATTGCAAATACACTAAGTAGTAAAACCAACTACAAGACTTGTGAAAATCAAATAAACACGAAAATTACTACTTCAACACCAACTCCTATATCAAAATACATAAGTAACATCCATTTACAAACAAAGAAAAGTTTCTACACTCTCATGTATGCCGCACCCTCGGCTACTCCATCAACAGTACGCCGAAATACATGCAACAGCATATGACGCAATACTAGGCAAAATATTCGCCTAGGGCGCCAAGATGTTTATATGAGTATAAACTCCTCCTCCAAATATAGCGCTCACCCGGGAAACTAATGGCACGCCCTTATATAAAGCACCATATACACCACACCTGGGAACAACCCTGAGAACACTCACAGGATCTCAACAAACGACGACACCGCTACACCCAACAATTGAGAACACCGTGTTCATTCGATACAACAGCTCCAGCTATTACTCCTCACAACACCGTTCCGCTTCCGTTATTCCGATAATTATTAATAAAATGACATCTTAGAACTTGACTATGTAAAATCAAATCAATCAAATTCGAAAATATTATAAATTTACAACAAATAAACAAGCAACAAAGCTTGGTATCCCCTACATTGGGTACATTGTTTAGTCCCCATGGTCCCTTAATGTTATTTTTGATTCTGAATAGTAGCTTGCCTCGTGGAGCCATACTACTATTAATAGTTTTACCCTTGAACTCTATTTACTTTTCGGTTTAAATTAGGAGACCTTGGCTTTGTAAACTTCATTTTTATGAATTAATCTTGGATTTATTTATAAACAAAACATGAACAATAACGGAAAAACAAAAATTAATTAAAATGATATCTGTTTATATGCACTGAAGGCATTAGTCTCCGGGTGTATGTATAAGTAGTATATATATATTTGAAATTCATACAACAGAATGTTCACATATGTTTCAATTTAATAAAGTCTTCAAAGCTTATCTTAAATTTGTTTCATCGTAAATGCATATTAGTATTCACATTTGAAAGTTATCAAAATTTTACCTGGTCCTGGTTCCTCTGTCAGAATTTCATGTATATACCGTTTGACAACTTCAGAACACTTTCTTGATTCATCATTAACATTATAGTTAAAGAGATAACATATGTTAAGTAACATACAAACAAATTTTTAATTATAAAATTGGTTAGAACCTGCATGCGTTTATTTTTAATATACTTAAGACCCGCTTAAAGCTGTTTCGGTTTAGCGCTCTTTTATTTCAACTGGGGATTCCCGAAACTGTAGTTATCACAGTTTGGTGTTGCTGAGGCAACGTAACGACAACCATTTCTAGGCACAGTAATGTACACCAACGACAGTAGTTGCGTAACAGCATCATCCGACCAAGTTACGGTAAAAATTTATAATCGTTCGATCACTGTGTCCGCTCAGTTGCGCTGGGTCAGCACTTCATTGTGTCTTTCAGTTAGGATAGACCAAGTATATTTTGAATTTAAAAATCACTTAATATAATAAGCCAGCCAAATTGTGATGAAATATTTAATATCTTATTTAATTTACCTGCCCTGCCGGGACATGTGGATGGAAGAAGCCGTTGGAGAAGAGGCGCGGTGAGCTTTTCACGGATGGATCGAGGCTAGGAGGAAGGTTGAAGGGAGGGTTTTCTGCAAGGAGCTCTCCTTCAGTCTTAGCTTCAGGTTACCGGATCACTGTAGTGTTTTACAGGCGGAAGTGGCTGCTATCAAGGTGGTAGAAGTACTGCTGCGTAGAGCAGCCTCGTTTGTGAAGTGAGCATTCACTCTGATAGTAGGGCAGCATACTAGCTTTGAGCGCGCGTACCGTGCAATCAATGCTAGAAGGAGTGTCTGTCTCTTTAGAGATAGCGTCTGGCTATTTCAACATCAGGCTCGTTTGGGTGCCTGGTCACAGCGGAATCGCTGGAAACTGCAAAGCCGATGAGCTAGAGGGGGCACCTTTGCCCCGCTCACATCGGAATGGGATCGGGTTGATCTCCGTTTGCGTCTTGCGCTCTAACGTTGGATAATGGACCTCGCGTGCACTCAGCAGACGCTGGTCGACGATTAGGTCCGGCGCGCGAGATCCTTCTGGCCAAGAGTGGACCGCAGGAGGTCGGCGGAACTTCGCCCTGAGCAAAGTGCATCTCGCCTATTGTAGGAGTTCTCACTGGACACGTCCAATGGGCACTCATGCGGTACGGCTTGGTGTACTCCGAGCCAGTTGCCAAAGTATGGAGGAGGGCGAGGTGGAATCATCCCAGCACTTTCTCCTCCAATGTCCGGCATTGCTAGGCTGCGATTGAAATATCTCGGAAATCACACGTTTGGCGGACCAATACTTATCCGAAATGGATATTGGCCGTCTTAACAAGTATGTAGTCAGCACAAGATGTCTTGTCGACTTGTAGGGGTCTTTTGATCCGGATTATAGGAGTTTGTAGGTATCACAACGGACTGGCGTCTTAAGCTGTCCAAGGGGATCCCTTCTGGGATCGACTCCTAACCTAACCTAACCTAACCTAACTGCTGCCCAACGAATCCAAAACGCGCTCAAACCA